CCAACTATCCCATACTATATTATCTCAGTACAGAGGACTTTACTCAACTGTAATTTGCAGAAAGATCATGGGTGGTGTTTTTTTCTTATCCCCGGGCTTACTAGAGCAGTGAACCATTTACCATAGATTCTGCGTAACTACCTTGAGGGGTCAGCACAGCTCTCAACTCAGTACCCTCACTTGTCGAGCCAGAAAATCATAGGAATCTATAGTACGTAATTTGCCTTTGCCAAGAATACATTTGTTAATTTCCATAGTGGACAATGATGGTCATCTCTTTGCCTATTTAAGATAGTAATCTGTTTCATATGAAAATAAATTCTACAGTATAACAAATAAAGAAGGAATTATTCATTATTGTTCTAAAAATCAGTTAGAAACCATCAAATTGGTAATGGAGGAGGAAAAACATCACCGCCAAGCTAGAGCGAATGAGTCAGCTGAATAGGGAACTAGAGATGAAGTCATGTATGTGCAGTGGGTGTAAACTGAGGAGGAGAGAAAAAGAATGAGAGAGACAGAAAGTTATTAAGAGTCCTTATCCACATATAGATCATTGAATATCTTCCTGGCCTGCGAGAACCCTGCCGCCCACCCAACATCTGATAATCACACTTCATTAGGAGAGCAGGTAGTGATGAGAGAAGAGAGGGTGACTACCGAAGGCGACATGAGAGCGAGTGAGAGACATGTAAGGAGGGTAGCCAGGCACACTAGAGTGATATAATGTTGTGAAAAGATAATGGAAATTTGATTATGGGGGAAAAGAAAAGCAGGAGTTTGACTTAGATGACACTTTGCCCGCTCTGTGCTTGTGTGTGGGCTGGGTTGTTGTGAGTGTGCATTTGCTTGTTTGTGTTGCTCCATGAGTGTTTATGAATGAATGTGGGCAAATTTATTGTGGCTCAGGGGTCTGTATTTATTGCCTTGCCTTCAGTGTCACATGAAGACGGACAGGTCTGCCACAGTTCAGAATGTAATAAGGTTTCTCTGAGACACACACACACACACACACACACACACACACACACACAGAAACGTATCCTGTAGCTTGACATTCCCCCCTTGCTATTTCCTTGCACCTACCATACCTATGCCCTACACATCAAGTGATGTAGCAGTGTTCGGGCATCAGCTGCAGAGTAGCACTAGCCAGTAAAGGAATGCTGTAGCTTACAGTGCTGCAGTGAGATTCAGTGGAGCAAGGGCCAGTTTCCCTCAGCCATGTGGGAATGTGCCCATATGGAAACATCCTTTACACTATGGGCTTGTCTGAGAGTGGCTGAACAGAATCGCTACTAAAGGTGTGATGTCCCAGAGGTACAGGGCAGAGAAGGGAGAGATCCTGTATTTGTGTGTGTAGTTGATGTGTATGTGCTGTCAGCAGAAAGAGAGAGTGAGAGGTTAGGACTGCAGTATTCCTCTAGCAGGAAGCATTGATTTTCCGGCCCAGCGTGGGGATGTGGGAAATGTCAGCCTCTAATTGAGTTGATAAAACCGTTTTGAGTTTCAGACATAAATATGCCCCCCACCCCAAAGGCCACCACATTAGACAGCTCCCATTGGGAGGTCTGTAAGGAATGAAAGGTCTCCTTGTTGTGTGTTTACATGTGCATGCCCTTATGCATTGGGAGTTTTGTTTTTGTTTTCTGGACAGTTAACTTCTGCAAATCTGCATGGTGAAAGAAAATGGCCGGCACGCTGCCACTGACTAAAATGTTTTCTTTCATTGTGAATCTGGATACAAGCTCATTAGAATAAACAGTTCTGTTGTGGTAGGAAGGGCAGAAATGGAGAGTGTGAGAGAGAGGCAGAGGTCATATCCATTAGAGGTGTAGAGGGTGAATAAAGTAAAGGCTGAATGAAAACTCTGCTGTCCCTGCTGATTAGCAGATTTATATGCAGAGATGGCAGAGGACTTACCTGCTGCCTTCAATGGAAATTCACTCTAATGTCATAGTTGTGTGTGGTTTCTATGATATTATAAAGGGTAGGCAATGTTGTAGAACTAGAGACAGTTTTTATTCAGGCCATGGTTCGAATTACGGGATTACGTGGACTGGGGGGGTCTGACCCCCCTAATTAAGGCTTGGACCCCCCCAAAAGAGGCAGAAACAACAGCTCAGGGGGGTCTTTCTTACCTGTCATTGTAAATATTACAATATATTTCCCATACCCATTCCTTATATTCAAAAATCTTGAAGTAGGATTTCTGACACCCCTAAAATGGACCGTACCATTTCCTAATCTTGAAGTCAGTTGAACGTCTGTCTGCTCACATCACTCGCAGCTGCTCCAGTCCAGTCCACCACACGCTGGTGGAGACACTGCAGGTTAATATCAGCAGTTAGCTAACTTGCTTCTTTAATACACTTAACTTTCCTACCTTCAGAGTTTCGTAATTAGCATTTATTTTACTTTAAATGAGATATGTGATGTTAGCTAGCTGATAGCCCACCCTATCATTTCATTACCACTATATAATTTCATATTTTATGTAGATCTAGTTGTTAGCTAACACTGGTGTTTAAACATGATGAGCAGTGAAATAGAGGATTAGTTATTGTAGATACACCTTTTGATCTCAATATAGAGTTTATTATTTCATTTTAAGTATTTTGTGAGTCTTTCTACAATAAGCATGATATTTGTTTTCACTCTGGAATTCAGGAGTTAAAATCCAGGTGTGTTATTTCAAATGTGTTCAGTTTTATTTATATAGCGCCAAATCACAACAAAAGGCATCTCATTGCACTTTATATGTACAGCAGGTCTCTGTTTAATATTAGTTACAGAGACACAAAAATTCCCAATTTCCCAACAGTGTATGACAACTGCTTTATTGAACGCAGATAATTTCATTCACAGTCAACATGAGCAAGAGGAAAGGAGATATTTTCTAAAAAAAAAGTTTAAACTTAAAACTTGAAATGATAAAAAAATAGGAATCAGATATGATAATGCAGACTGTATTTTATGATAGTGTCTTTGGTTCCAGTTCAACATTGTGTGGGTCTGGTTTGAGCGGTCATGTGACCTCTGACTACAAAAGTTGTCATGTGGTATGGGGCACCCATGAACTGTTGTAATGAATTTGATTTATCATCATCTATAGACACACATTAGTTAAATAAGCAAGGATATTGTCAGGTTTGTAAGATTTTAGTTTACTGAAGCCTGCTCCTGCGCTGTTCTGGGTTTTCTTTTTGACCTGAGAAAAGAAAGTTGACCCCCCCTGTTGTCACTGTATAATTCGCACCCTGATTCAGGCCATGCTTATTACAGTCCTGCATTTTTTATTTTATTTTTTGCTTGTTTTTGAGCAATGTTTGAATAATTTAACCACACCAACCAAAGTATATATTGTGTTCTGTACTGAAATTGCCAATTAGTGTTAATGCTAACAGTTGTAAAATCAACTTTAAAGTTGAGTGCATTTGAACACATATGAGAGTGCATGTGTGCCTGTTTGCATCTATAGGGGCCCTGCACTCATTATTAGGAGTGATAATTAGACAGGGTTTCACACATTACGCCTTGCACACATACACAGTTTCTGTTTCTTTCACATTCATATGTGAGCACACACACATTTGTGGCTAAGCCTACTGGTAATTAACAGACATAATTAGGCAGACTACCATTCGTATAGGGAATGCACGCTCATGCAAACACACACGTACATGTACACACTCACACACACAAAGACACACATTACTTCCCTGGTAATTAAGAGTATTAATTACAAGCATAGCTGTCCCTGTGAGGCTTTGTATCACTCACAGACTGGCACGCAGCAGGGTTCTTATTACTTTATCTCACCACACCATCACCTCTCTCTCTCAGTTTCTCTGGTTACACATGCACACACATGTACTCCCTAATATACAGTTTCTAGATAAACAAATGGTAGCTAATTAGTCAGAGACTGATAGCTGGCCATAGGTTAACCTTTGTTACCTTGGGAATTGAGAGAGATCTGCTCACTAGAATTAGAACAGACTAGTGTGCCTGAGGGGCTGTGCCAGTGTCTTTGATTTTTGTCAAATGTACTTTAAGCTGCTGTGCCCTCTGCCTCAGCACTTTGTTATACTGCAGCAGCAGAAATATACATTTCACAAATTAGGCCGGGAGATACAGTTTCCATCTGTTTTGCACATGTTAGCTTGAGGTTTGTATCTCTAAAATGAGCCACTCTACTTTCACTGTAGTTTGCACACTAACCTAGGTTGACATGTAGGCCAAACTCCAGACAGGATAGAGTATCTTTAGAGAGTGGCTTGCAGTACGTAGAGAATGGAGCTAGCTAGCTGAGCTAGCCTGTTAGCTCAAGAGAAAAACTGTGAGACAAAGGGCCTAAGGAAAAATATCTTGTTATTAGACAAGGAACACTTTGTGCTTTTAAGAGCTCGAGGCATATTCCCAGTTAATGAACATGCCTTGCACTCTTTGGCACTGGAGCTGTGGCACACCCTCAGCACTTAGAGGAGCCAGACATCATTTATGGAGACCTTTTACAGTTCATTCCAAAATTTCACAGTGGTTGTGTGTTTGGATATTGCAGGATAGCATCAAAGCTGTCTCAGCAGAGGCCGAGGTGGCACACATGCCGCCAGCAGCATCAACTTAGGAGAGGAGAGGAGATGTGTCTATTGCATTGCACAGTGAAACTGCAATCCTCCAAATGCTCAAACACATTATGTAGCAAAAATACTTTGAAGTACATTAATATCCATGCACCCTCAGATAAAATTATTCTGTACACAGCTAAGTGTATCATTAATAAATAAGTATTGTTGTGGGGTGGTACATGACCTGGTAATCAATATCCTTCTCATTTGTTCTTGTAAAGTGACGTGATGATGATACAACATTGCTATATTGTTTTGCTGTAAATAAAATATTTCTATGTGATGTAATCACACTGCAACCAATTATGTATGTGTACATATTTATGATTTATTAATTAGTTTGCTCTCTCTGTGTCTGTTTCTCTGTAGTGGACGGCTGTACAGATTGGTCAGTGGACTACCTTAAGTACCGAGTGCTGCAGGGTGAGCCGGTGCGGCTGAAGTGCGCACTGTTCTATGGTTACATCCGGGCCAACTACAGCCAGGCACAGAGTGTGGGCCTCAGCCTCATGTGGTATCGCAGCTCTGGCCTGGGCCACAGCGACTTTGAGGAGCCCATCTCTTTCGACGGTATACGTATGAGCAAGGAGGAGGATGCCATCTGGTTCAGACCTGCTGACCTCCAGGATGCGGGACTCTACTCTTGCGTCTTACGGTAGGAGGGGATGGGGATAATCTATATTAAACTCCACTTTAACAAGTTATCTACTGGTCTTTGTGTTGTGCTGTAGTTTTTACTCTCCTGTTTTTCTCTAAAATATTCTCTAAGATATTTTGGGACTTAATTGCTTTCTTGCTGAGAGTCACATGTTCAGTTCAATTCAGTTCAGTTTAATTTATATAGTGCCAAATCACAACAGCTAAGCGATTAGCGTAGCTTAGCATAGAAGACTGGAAGCAGCTGGCCTAGCTCTCTCTAAAATCTTAAATGTTTAAAACACAATTTGTGGATTAAGCTGAAGTTACATGCTGTAACAAGCTGTTAACCCCTGCGTAGCTTAAGCTAAGCTTATTCCCTTTCGGTCTGGCTCTGTACTGTACTTGACTGAAAGACATGAGTAGTCTATAAATCATCTGCAGGATGCACTTTGTAATTGTAATTGATTTCTCTGACTGTATTCGTTCCTGAAACTTGAAACTGGTGTTTACTTTTAAATCAAATTAAATCATCAGATCCCAGGAGCACATTCATCTTTCTTAAACTGTAAGTTAATAATGAAATACTTATGACTAATGAGTAAGTAAGTAAAACTGTCAGTTTTCCATTATTTGAAAAACTCATTGATAAAGCTATCTTTGTGTTTTGTGCATTTGTGTGTTCGTATAGTGTGTGCGCGCGCACGCGTGCCTGTGTGAGAGAAGAGGAGTAAGCAGTGAAGGATAGGTTATGTGAAGTGGCGAGAGGTGAAACAGTGTATAGACAAAGAGAGATAACTGAATGCAAACACAAGCAAAAACACAAACACCCACACATACATACACCGTTACAGAGAGACTGTTTCCTAATAGAAGATGCATTATTATGTGGCAGTAAGTTATTAACCTTTACAGCTGAAGAACATCCCTCAATTAATGGCTCATTGCAGCTCTTCATTTCAGAGAGTTTTTAATAAACCCAGTTGAAGACCTCTTAAAGACCCAGAGAGGCTTGCAGGTTACATTGAGTGTGACAGGGTGGGGTGGGGGGGTGGTGTTTGTGTGCAATGATATTCCAGCCTATACTTAAATTCATTACTGCACTCTGTATTGTCATTGATTATTGACAATTTTGTCTAACAAGGCTTTGTTCCTATTCAAATGTGTTTGAAATTCAGAGCATACTGTAGTTCTGTAGAGCACTACGTTTTAAAAAGTGCCCCTAGCTCTGTGTTTCTCAGTCTACTCATGTTGAGCTGGGGAGATTTCAAACTTCTCAGATACCCTAAGCAAAAGACTGCAAGAGATTTGCCTTTGAGCTGAAATCAATTGTCTTTTTGTTCGGGAGTAAGCTTTTGAGTCACACATTTTAGAACTTATGACCCTGACCTATAAACACTCTCCTTTAAAACTCCCTTCAGGCAAAGAGAGGGAAAATATGCCATCGTCTTCGCCCCACTCAGATTTTATATATTGCAGCAGTAGTGATCTTAATTTATCCAAACCTCAGAGATCTAATTGACACCTAATATTATGACAACCGCAAATGACATTACTGGGGATGGACAAGTATAACACAACCATATGACAGTAGAGTTGAATCAACACCTCTGTTATGTATTATCATCAAAAATGATATATAAAATATCTATACAGTAAGGTTTGTAAAGACCATAATGAATTACTGGGTTGAAGAAGAATTTCATCATTAATACATGCAGTTAAAAACACATTACATGCCAATGGTACTGTATAACATTTTAGAATGAGCACACACAGTATGTATCATATTTCACAAATGTTATTTCAATGTAAATTAGTCCTGAGACCTAATGTAGTGGTTTCAGTTACCTCCACAAAAGTGTGTTTCATTTTGTCCTACATGATTTTCCTTTCTCTAAATCTGTTTACAGATTTTTTTGTTTTAACATTTGAATGGCAAAATGTCAGTCATTCAATTGCAATTATGATGCATTCAAGTGCTTCTCAAATGGTCCCAATACCACATTACAAATTACATGCGAGCAAAGCATTGAAATACAATACATGAATTAATAAAAAACGTTTACTTTCATCTCCCATGTTTCTGCGCAATATTATGTCAGCTCAGCAAGTCACGTACGAAAAATTTCCCTGACTTTCTGAGTTGTTCTTCCGACTCAAGTAAATTTTCCCAGTTGATTATTCCGACACCACAGGAATGCAGGATTAATGAAGTATATTCATTATCACATGTAATGCTTCACACCATACCACCAAGACTCAACAGTAAAATAAAATAACAAGTCCAACACAAGACAACTTGCTGCAGCACTTTAATGTTGATTAATGTAATATTCAAGCTCAAGTCACGTGAAAAATTAAAACATTTACCTGAGTGGTGTCCAGCAGCCTATGTTATCAGCCTTTAGCTGCTCAGACTTGTGGATTTCATGCAAGTCCTTAATATGTGAAATAATTGTTCTTGGATAAGGATTGGATCGGATGTGGATCGGATAATGGCTGTCATCCCGTTATCTTTAATTTTATTTAGAAATTGACCTTCCTTAATAAAGGTTATCCGTGTTTTTACTACATTAAGGAAAATGTGGTTATCTACAGTTTTGTCAAATAACCAGAGGTACTGCAGGAGCGAATGTGCACAGCCTGGAAAATGTAACTACATCCTAGGGCTGTGTGATACAAGATATTTTTGACCACAATGACGATTGGTCAGATAGAATGCTTTTGTTTCCTTGAGCCAGTATCAGAAATATGGCGGTCGTGATGGCACTGAGCTACTTAGAAGTGACGATGGCGCACACGATGCTATAATTATTTTATTTTATCGCAATTCAATCTGATCTTGATGTAAGCACCCTCAAATTAAAGCTGATAGTCAGTACTTTAAAACAATAGTCAATGTTTCATTTCAGATGAAGTGCGCATGAGTATACAACACAAAGCCAACACAACAAAATAATATGTCACTGCCCAAATACCTTCTGACAGCACTGTATATATGGCAGATTAGTTTCTAATAGCTCTAGGCGTGTTGTGTACTGGCCATAAATATAGGTAAATCCCTCTGTCTTGAGTTCAGCTTCTCACAAAAGCCATCCAGATGTTTTTCTCAGAAAGACACCAAAGTGTGTGTCGTTCAGTGCTGCATAATGTGTGCCTTTAGTGTGTGCATGTGTGTGAATAGATATCTTTGTCCTTCTCTGTCTGGAAATTTAAGTCTAATCGCCAGTTTTCATGTGAAAGTGACTTCATTTACATAGCAATCTCTATGTGCTTTCTTTTGCTCTCCCTGCCTTTTTTACTACCCCTCTTCCCTCTGCATGCCATCTCACCTAAGGTCTGTAACATCGATTCAGATCTGTCAATCATTTTCCTCTTTTCCAAGCTCTGTCTCTCTTTCACACACTCACACACAGTCCCTCTATGTTTATCCCTCTATTTTATAATAATTCTAGTTATGAACCTGTGTTCTGGAGTGGGCCAAACCATGTGTATTTCCATTTCCTTCCCATGATTATAATTTCCAACATGTGGGATAATGTGTAAAGAATTACAGCTAATGTGAGTCGCAGATTAATTTCCAAAGCATCTACACTAAAATAGAATGTGACAGACATGAAAGACACCACAGGACTGTGCCTCGACCCCCAGCTGTCCATCAATCAAGCACCACCACTGACACCTTCCCACAATGCCACAGGCTGCCTGCTGTGAATATTTAACATGTAGAGATGTCTCCTATTGGCTCTGACTTTAATGGCTAAGGTGCATGACTTTGAGAGGTATTTTCTGATCATGTGTGTGTGTGTGTGTGTGTGTGTGTGTGTGTGTGTGTGTGTGTGTGTGTGTGTGTTTGCATGGTCGTATTTGTTCTTTAAACAAGTATATTGTCCAAGTGGACCAAGCCTACAGCATCACATCCTCCCACTCTATTCCCTCCAGATAGGAGGCATTCAGTTGATAATGTTAGATTTCAGCAGGGCAACAGGGCATAACAATATCTTGCATGTTACGTTTTCGAGATGCCATTTTAGTCATCTTCTATGTTGCAGAAGTATACAGTATCTTTTTTTTTCATCCCAAGTAACTATTCTCCTTCTGTTCCTCTCATCGCTATCTCTACCCAGTCTTCCATGACTGCACACAGCCACATTTTTCTTTTAAGTGTGTGTGTCTGCATCTGCGTTTTATGGTCCCAGGGGGTCAGAGGTGTTTATACGAGCGAGGTGACTCCCTTATTGCCTCCATAACCTGAGTAGATCATATGAAACCCTGTTATTTACAGTGAATGGAAGCATCTGGCAAGCCGTAAATGTAATGTAATGAAATGAAATGAAAGCCCATATGGCTGTATGTACAACCTCCCATTCAACGGACAGAGTGACTGACTGAGTAAGATCACAGCCTGGCGGTGAAGGATGGAAACACTGACAGACATACATAAAAGTATGTGCAGCTTAGTTTAAATGGCTTGGTCAAGAATGCTTACCACTAATTAAGGAAAAGGTATGAAAAGTGAAGCCAATGCAGGAAGTGCCTTAAACCTACTTTTTTGTCATGGCCAGCAGGTGGCAACTCCACTGGTTGCAAACGTCCTATTGCGTTGGAGTCTTCTCACTTGATTTACTAGCTCAGTAAACACTTTCCTAATGAGTTTATGGTCTCAATCGCTAGTTTCAAGTCTTCATTTTGTAAATTATGTTACCATTTAGAGTAAAATAGGCAATAAAGTAGGTATGCTTTTGTGCGTGGCCACCTTGTAATTGACAACTACTCAAGCTAGGTCCACCCTCTTGTCTAAATATGGTCACCTCTGGTTCCAAAAACCCAAAACCACCAGCATCAACTTCTGCAAAAGCTCATGGTAAAGTGTCCAAAGTTCTTATTAAACCCCAATACTCACAGTATACACTCACTCCTGTCACCACATCACTCCTGTCCTAAAGAACCTCTACTGGCTCCCTGTCCCAGAACAGATTCAGTTGGACCACCTTCTCTTCTCTCCCAAAGCCCTGCATAACCAGGCCTTCTCCTGCCTCGCTCATCCTGCAGCCTCAGTTATTCGAATGCCAACCTCCTGCCCCCACCATTCAGTACCAAGAACTGGAACTGGGGTGACTTTCTCTATAAATCTCTCCCCAAAGACATCCATGATTTCACCTTGTAATATTCAAGAAGTCACCCAAAACTCACCAAACGGCTTTTAATTGTTGATTTAATTTCCTGAGCCTTTAATGTGTTTTATATCTCTAAGGTATTTTATTCAAATTACTTTGAGTATCTTGAAAGGTGCTCTATAAATAAAAATGTATTATTGTAAGGACTTTACTGTCCTGCACAGAGCCCTGGACTCATCGATGAAATTTGGGATAAATTGGAATGTAGACTGACTTATTACCCTACATCCTTTGACCAACCTCACTAATGCTCATGTGGCTGAATGTGAGCAAATCCATGCAGAAAGGTTCCAAAATCTTGTGGAAAGAAATCTCCAAAGAGTGGCAGCTGTTACAGCAGCAAAATGTGTCCACATACTTTTGTAGAGTACGTTTTGTAGGGAATACCCATTGTGTCAATAATGATGGGGTTTGAAAGGATGGCTTCGATGATGATGATTATGACTACTTCAATACCACAGTAAGAGAGAGGGACATTCCTCTCTGCAAGCAAGTGTGCATCAGAGGTGAAGTATGTTGATGGTTTCTAGGAGACGAGAGGGTATGTGTAGTGGGGACTAACTCCTTGTGATGACCAAGCAGCTTTCTCTTCCTTCATGTCATGAGGCCCCTCTCAGAGTTCGTCTCTTTTCTGATTAGCATTCCCCGGCCCGGCCGACTCCCCCCATAAATCCAATAGTGGTCGTGAGCGTGAGTCATTGACTCGGTAAAGCTGCTGAACACATCGTTATTGCTTACTCCACAAACATAGGGAAGGGGGAGGGAGTCAGAGGAGGGATAGAAAAGGATAAAAATAACTAAAAGGGTATCAAAGAGAGTAAACTTAAAATTCCACCTGTTTGAGTGTGTAGTAGTGTCAATTTTTTATAACGTAACATCAGTATTGCTAATGTAGCCGTATCACATATGATAAACACATGTTCTTACTGAACTCCGAGTATCAGACAAGTAAAGATTAATCTTAACCTTCATTTATTGTTGTTCTCTGCCCACAGGAACTCCACGTACTGCATGAAGGTGTCTATGTCTCTGACTGTGGCAGAGAATGACACAAACCTGTGCTTCAACTCCAATATGAGACGAACTGAGAAGGCTGAGCTCAGCAAGAGCAAAGACATCCTCTGTCCTGACATAGATGACTATGTTGAACCTGGCAAAGGGCCGGACATCATCTGGTACAAGGTGGATTGGCTCTCTGATCAAGCATGATAATATTTATTTTTATGGCTGTATGATTTGTGAATCATGTGTATACTTTCCTGAAGGTTCATTGATGTTGTGTATTGAATACAGTTATTCATTATGTGTTAGGGAAAAGTAATAAGGAGGCCGTCACTCTTTGTGATTATACAACCGAGAAGTATTATTGAATTGGTTTAAAAGCCTTGTTGGAAACGTGGTTCCAGATCACTTAGGCAGATTATGTATGGATGCATATGGTCATGATGAATTACATTAAGTGAGTTTGCACTGTGAGTGTCATCCAAAGATGTCAAGGACTGAGCAATGCTCAGGCCACAGAGATGGCTTTCATAATGAACACAAAACCTGTATGAGGAGAAAATTGTACGATTTCGCATTCTGCCCTGCGGAATGAGTGAATGTCCTCCAAATGCTCCATGCGCTCCTGATCTTTATTCAGCATGCACCTTCTCCTCTCTCACCTGGGTTCTTGCCTTTCCCAGGTCAGGCACTGCCTGCGGACAACAAAGTGCATCCCAAAGAAGGGCTCAGGCCAGACTAATCACAGGCAGATCAGCAGTAGATTAGCTGGCCGGGCTCGACCTCTAGGTTTTTCCAGAATTCAATTACGGTCTGGGTAATGACTGGGAGTGCTGGAACCCAGAGTTATTTGAACCACTGCAGAGCCACAGTGATTGAATTCGAAGGTTGCCGGGAGCAATGGTGGAATACAATCTGCCGAGCCATCGTTGTCCCTGCCAGAGTACCGAGGGGCTGGAGAGAGGATCATGTCATGGAGTCACTCACTGTGGCTGCTCACACATATACTCGCACACGCACACAGACGCAGCACAAACACACTTATTTTGCCAGCGGAGACTACTGTAAATAACATTCTCTGTCCTCTGTGGCTCTACTGAAATGGTGAATGGAGAATATTTAGTTCAGTGCAATAAATCTTGATCAGATAAATAGGATAATGGCGAAGCCTTATCATTTTACTGTATGGAGTTTTGTATGGAGCACAAAGCTAGGCAACCCTACCATGTCATCCACTTTCCTAACATTCAATGAAGTTTGAAAGCTTTTGTGTCCAGCTCTGCCCACTTGAAACCTAATGGATCTAGTTCATTATGAAGCAGAGTGAGGGTGTTGGATTTTATGTCAGGCTTGCCCATAACATTGAATTCCTTGCTTGGTGCAGTACACAGTACCTTTCCATCTGTCTACTGCCAGTCATTTTGTGTTTCACTTCTATTGTGATTTATTAATATCAGCCTTGCGTAGGAGTTTTAAGTTAACCTTCCTGTCCGTCTCTAATGTACAGGAGTGCCGTCCAAAGCAGTGGCGCGCCAGTATCATCCAGAAGAGAGACATTCTGTCTATACAGGAGGTAAAGGAAGATGACATTGGGAATTACACCTGTGAAGTCCAGTTTGGTGGCTTTGTGGTCAGGAGGACAACAGAACTCACAGTCACTGGTAAGTTTTCAGGAGAAACAAAAAAACATGAAAGAAATATGTTTTTGTGTGTGTGAAAGGGCTATTGTGGTCTTCTTTACAAACTCAACTGTTGTTGAATGTTGAAAGAATCATTAGAGTCAGTGGATGGTAACAAATACACACAGCACTGCAGCGATGTCCTGCTGCTGTGTTAATTGCTGGGGAAGGTTGAATGCTGTGGCTTGGCCTCTATCTCATCTTCTAACTCAGCACTTTCCAGCCAGCCAAGCAGTGTTGAAATATTTAAGGCTGTAGGCTAAACCCCTTCACACAGCGAGCTAAAGAGCTAGGGCCAAGGTCAGGAGATTTACAGTTCTCTTACTCTGCTCTCTGTGTTTCTATCCATCTCTCTCGCTCTCTTTCTCTCTCTCTCTCTCTTTCTCACTCTTTGCCTTGCACAGCTGCAAGGTGAGCACATGACAAATAATTAATTTGTTCTTTCTCAGTGTGAGTTGACTCCGGGGTGAGACCCGGGCATCGGGTGCTCTGAGCTTGTGTGTTCTGCCAGGTCAACTGCTCAGATTAGGGTTGATGAATAGGTCACATCCTCTTTTTTTGCCCCTCCCCTTTTCTTTCTCTTAAATCAGTCCAGATAGTCCCACCCATTGTATTCCAGTGTGTACATCAGATGCCAAATAGTATTTTGTGACCACTAGGGTCACATCATATGAATCAAACCCTAAATTGTGCCCTGTGATGCTGTTGCAAATGAAATTACCTTTAATTTGTAATAATCATATGGCACCAAACTGAAGTATTTTCAGAAATACTCACACATGCCTCCATTGCATCAGTTTGGTTCTGCTTAGGATTTGTGTGGTAAATCATTAAGATTAATGGATGAAATGGTGTAAGCTCAAAAAGGTGGACACCTTGATTTTCATTGGATTTACCCTTTGCTACAAGCCCAGTTGATTGGTCGCTGCATCATGTAGGGTGTGTGGTTATGTGTTTGGTTTTATATCTAACTCTAGACAACAATCTTGCCCAAGCTGCCATGCTGTTTGTTTGTGTTTCCAACTAGGCAATGTAGTAAAGGTCTATTACCGGATTCATCAACTCACTGAGCATCTTAGTGTGTTAGCATTTGTTAAGTATCTTGTTTTGTGTTTATTTGTATGGCTGGCCATTGCTCTTGTTTGATATGAGGGCGATAGCAGTGTGAGATATACAGGCTATTTGCTATCTAGCGAACAGGAAGATACATACCTCAACCTCAGCATGGTGTACTGTGCTGGATGAGGCTAAATTGTGATCCTGGAGATGTGGCTTCCAGATTGGCTGCTCTTGTGATTGATGGCCCAGCATTTTATCCCCAGTGGGGCTCAATAAATATAAGGCAGATAAGAGGAAGATACACTAGATTTCATTTTATTATGACATATACTCCAAGTGCTTAGTGTTTCCATGATTCAATGTGAAGTACCTACATTAGAAATTTCTCAGGATAGGCATAGGTAGAATATTACTATATGCAGTATGAGACAGAGATGCTCAGAAGTCTTTGAGTTAGAGTCAAAGTCAAGTCTCTGAGCAAGAGTCCAAGTCAAGTCTCAAGTCTTTGAGCTAGAGTCCAAGTCAAGTCTCTGAGCAAGAGTCCAAGTCAAGTCTCAAGTCTTTGAGCTAGAGTCCAAGTCAAGTCTCTCGTGGTTATTAAGAATGCTGTATCACCTGCTGCATTCAATCCAGGTTGTTAATAAAACTGCATGGCTATAAGGAATTCTGTAACTGTAACCTGTTTTTCATTTTCAGAGCACAAGCATGTAATGTGCAATGCAATTATTGACCACCACAAGTTTGGCAAGTAAACAAACGCTCATTCATCTTTTCATAACGAACGACAGTCGGAGTAAACCTCGAGTCGGTCGTAGCTGAAGCAAGAAGCAAGCTAACATTAGATGGCCAATGCTGAGCTAAACATGTTTACTCACCACAGGTTACTAACCTATTTGCGTTCAGCGCTTCTTTGTTTGGGTCTTGTTTTATGAAGTTTTAACGCCAAAGTTTATGATGAAAGGCGGAGCAGCTGTTTCCTAAAAATAAACATTGTTCACGAGTCCCGCACCTGGAGTCCGAGTCGAGTCTGAAGTCTTTTGAGGACGAGTCTCAAGTCGAGTCTGAAGTCACTGTGTGTGCAACTTAAGTCGCACTCGAGTCCGAGTCTCTAACTCGAGTCCCCATCTCTGGTATGAGATAATAGAAGGTCAATTAGACTAGTTTGGGTACTGTATCAGAGTGTAAAGGGTGACTTTGCCAAATATTGGGGAGCATGGCTAGTACCATAAGCGATACCTGGGATAATACATTTATTCATTTATTTTGTGATTTAGGTGATTTAGTTGTCTCTGTATTTTTTTTATATCTGACCTATTTGAGTGAATTCCATGTTGGCTATACTGTATGTACTTTGGCTTTATCCTTGTGTGTTTGTCAGCATGACCTCAATGTTTTATAATGACTATGGTCATAAAAACTTTATTGGGTTATAAATATACACAGTTCACATTAATGATACAGAGAGGAAGAAGGAGACAGTGGAAAGAGGGAGAGAAAGACGGAGAGGCAAAAAGAAAGCGACAGAAACTCTGGTCAAGTGAAGACAGCGCATTTAACTGCAATTTTCTTTCCATTTATGAGTCTAGCATGTTGCCTGTATGCAATGTGAAGTATTAATATCTAATAAACCTATGAACAAGTGTGATTTAGAGAGAATATAGAAAAGAAAAGTGATTTTACTCTTGATTTTTTCTCACTCTCACTTTCTCAAGTTTTCTTGCATAATGCTTGAAGGCACACATATGCTCCCATATAGAGCCACATAGAAACACCTACACACTGTCTAGGCATTCCACAATTATTTATTCTTCTTGTAGTACATTAAATAATTTACATGAGACACATTTTGAAAATGAAGACTGTCTTCGGTGTGACTGACCCAATGTCCCATATTTATTAGAAGACTTGCTACCAGCAGAAAACCATCAATGGCTTTTTTTATACAGCATTACAATAGGTTCATGTCTCAGTCACCAGTTCAGTGTCATCAGTTATGCTGATACTGCTGTAAAAATATGGCTTGCGCTATTACCACAGTATTTTGCCTTATTATGATAACAGAGGGGTACCGCTTAAAGCTGTAGTATCCTGGTAGAATTTGATTAGCTCACTCTGACCATAGGCTCATTTCCTTTTAATAAACCTACACCATCATCCCCTCAAGTGGGCGTGAGATTATCCACATTTTATCACATAGTTTTAAAACCGACATTGCCTGGACGGCAAGAATAAAAGCCCAAACTATGCCTGAGATCTGAGGGCTAATGTTGTAGTTTATTTGATAGGCCAAGAGGATGAAGGAGGTCATTAAGTTTAACTGATCTTAAATATAGCGCATCAGACACTGGCCTTTGCTTTGACCCTGCCTTGCTGCAAATTGTGTGTACGTGTGTGTGGTGTGTGTGTGTGTGTGTGTGTGTGTGTGTGTCTTTTGTTCTGACCCCGCTGCAATATGTAACGGCCTCCATTAGAAGCAGTAGAAGAGTCTTGTAATAGAGGTTAACTATGGGCATAAACACAGGCTCACCTAGATCAGGCCGATCAGGAGACCCTTAATCAAGCACTGATGCTCCTCAGGTTAATATAAATGTAAAAGAAACAGCAACCCCTTGCCTCATTTTATGTTCCCCCCAGTTTATGTAAGGGTGCATTTAAATGTCCTTATCTCATTCTGAGCATGTGCACACGGCGAAGTACTGCCTCTGCAGAATCGGTATATGTATTTAGAATAAAAACACAATTATCAACAGATGGAAAGATTTTGTTTTTTCTCTCCCCTCCATAGACCTTCACCTGGACCCCCCATCTGTAAAGAGAGTGCCTTTTTGTGTTCTCTTATAATGGCTTTCATACCAACAACAAGTTCACCATTTCCCAATTCCACTGGGGAATTCAGAGCGTGGTCAGATTAGTCTACTCTTGTGTTTACTCCTTTCTACTGTTGGAAACACCAGAAGCAATGCCTCAGCTAAAATGACCCAGCTATGATTAATTGATACATGCATGTACAATTCGGGCCACTCTATGGATGTACGAGTATGTATATGTGTATGTATGCCTGTCTGTGTGTTCATCTTCTTAAAGTTATTTATGCATACCTACGAATGTCTGGTATGATATGTCTGTTTTTTAATAGTACATCTGAATCATTTCAATTCATTTTTTATGGTTCTCCCAGGGCTCATACCATGGTAATGCTACAATAGTATACCAGATAAAAACCGTGTTCAGCTGATGTATGCAGCTCCCTCTGCGTTCTGTGGGAAGAAAAAATATTATACAGTGAGAGCGCAAAAGGATAAAGAGAACAAGGGAGTGAAAGTGACTGATAACAGCAAAGGAGAGAGAGGAGAAGAGATAGAAAGAATGAAAAAGATAGAGAGGTTGCTGCTCCTGTATCTTATCTGTATTCATTGCCAGTGTTTCCCAGCAGAAACAGTGTGTCCAGGACTATAAACAGACTATTATCCTAGTGTTTATCACAGCGCACATTACCGTTTGCCTCTGTCGGACTTACTGTAATGGAGTCGTTTGGTTTGATGGATGCCTCGGGCTTGGATTTCTATCTATTGCTCCCATTATACCTCTGTCTGCATCCCCTCACTGTAGAAATGTCTGTCTGCACATTCAGCATAGCCTGCAAGCATGGTGATTGAGGTTATGACCAATGTAAATGTACCATTTGGCACAGTGAATTGGAGATGTAGAGGGCAAGAGGAAATCGAGGGGAGGAGAGGAATCATCTAGTTTACATTACCTCTTGTACAATATCCACAGTGAGAGGGGAGGTGCTTGGGAAACTTGCTTTATGTACTGTGAATAAATATATATGTGTGAAAATATAATGTGACTACGTTGCAGGTGTTTTGTTTGTTTGCATGTGGTGTTTGTTTTAGTGCCTGCTCACTGTATCGGAACATATT